TACTCCAGGGTTTTTAAAGCACCCACCAACAAGAGCTTCACAGCCAAGTTAACACTGAAGATACCGTAGCAAAACAGCAGAATTAAACCAGCGAAAAAAACATAACCCCACAAAATGCCAACGAAAAACCACGTTTTATTCGAATCTCATACAGTCGCTTGCAACAATCAAACGGGAAAGCAAGGAGCAACTCCAGAATCAGACGGCAACAATTGACGAAACCACGGCACCAATCGCGAGCGCCAAGTCATACTTGGACACATCAGACTTCTGCATCAAGCTGCACTCGCACCATACAGCTCGTCAAAGTCGCCTCCACCAGCACATACATGTAGTAGCGATCAGACCCTTCGATGGCAGCAAGACACTCCACTTGCCATCGCCTTTCACTCTCTCCTCTCTTCATGAAGAGACTAGCGCCTCAGAATACGTAAAAGTAGCCACGAGATCAAATGCAACGCGAGATCCAGTGCTCAAACACGTCCACGCACCACGACTCCACGTAAAAAATATCACAGGCTCCTTGCGTACTGATCCCCGCACATCAACACGGTAGCTGTTGCAGGGCCTGCATTATACAATGTAACGTTATATATGGCTGTTCGCCACTCCGGCAGTGCGCATACTGGCGGCATCGTCTCCCGACTTCATGCAGACGCACGCACACTGCGTTACCGTGGCGTGGATGCTGTCTTCAACGCCATCAAACATATCGTAAGTGTTTTTTCTTTTCTTTTTGGCGATGCAATTTTAAAGCTAATGCATCGTACTTAATAGCGATAAAAAGTAAAAACTGTAGCCATCGTAGTTAAAAGTCACTTCAACTGTGACTTTCTAGAGACCAAAAGAGATCGGCCATTTCTTCCTCACTACTTTAGTGAAGAAATGGCCAAAATCTTTCACCCCGTGCCACTGGAGCTCCATGCGCTCAACGAGCGCGAGCCACCCGCTTCGTAAGCAGCCAGAAGGTCGGGCTCAGCATGGATTGACACTCGGTTGCCCAGTCCGGGTACCCGGCCGGATTGTCGCGCCACGCAACCATCTTAATAAAGAGAAAAACTCAGTGTCTCTCATTAGCACTATCACATTAAAGAGATCGTTTAACCGTTGAAACAACGGGTTCAAACGCGCGAAATTGCTATCAAACATTTATATTCAGCTACTATCTCCGACAGGTATCACTTTTAGAGTGTTAAATTGATGAGTAGGCCAGCAAATAATTCACAAACCCAGCCTCTCCGGACCCATCCCATCCCAATGACTGGCAGCGAGCTCCAGCTCTGCCGCCTTTCGAAATGCAGCTTCAGTTGCCATTTTTTCCTGCTACTACTCAAGAAAGTTCAATGCATCCTCTTCCCTGCAGCTGGTCACGCCTCCATACGGCGGTGGGTCCATCTCATACCCACGTTATCAGAATTCAAGCGACCGCTTTCTACACAGCACCAGGTAAATTGCACGTAATGAACGTGTAGCTCTATTGATTACAGGCCTGGCCTTGCTCCTTTCGTCTGTATCTGCTGCTCTACATCGGCAGTGAGAGCGTAGACCACGACATACGCGCCCATTATCTTTGCTCGCTACAGCAGAAGAAAGACGAGGCTGCACTTTTTACGAATGACCAACGTTATCAGACGTACCGGCAGGATTGCACATGCTGTGCCCCGTCGTCCTGGCTGGACGCGCCGACATGTCCGCTGCCGTCTTCAGCGAATCACGGTACATGTACGTACGAGTGATACGGTACGACGGATGTTGTGACTAAGTTTGTGTACAACCAACACAAATCTGCTCATATTGCTTGCTACTTTCGATGATCGTATGCTCGGTGACCTTAAGTTGAAGTGGCCTCTCAGCGGACATCCCACCACAAATGGCAATCCATCGACAAATCCGCTTTTAGTGTGTGGAAGCGTCACGCTACAGACGACGGAGCGGCGACATGTACGCTCGCCGCTGGGCCTACCTGTCGATTTGCCTACTGCGACAGCGACTACACCTGCTAAAGTGCCAGGCTACGCGAGCTAAGCGAGCTTGCAGATGCAAGTTGCATCATGCCGATAGGTGCTGGCGCTTACTAACGCTCAACTGCAACGGCAATTGGCCCCGGATGCACTGAAGCCTATGAAGTCAGTGAAAACGCGTCATGCCCGCTGCCTGCTGCAGCGGCCACATCCGCGTACATGCCCACTTTGTGGACGCGAAGGCCAATACAGCAACTTCGTGTTCAAGTGTGTTACCGCATCCGAGCTCAACCAAGCAAACGGCAACTGCGTTTCGGTCACCACATACCCGGCGGCTCAACGTCCTCAACGTCAGTAAGTGTCTGGCTGATAAAATACAAGGATGGGTGCAGCAAAAATGTCTCTAATGGCGACAAATGCACCATATCGTCCGGAAATGTATTAGCATTCTAAAGCATATGTGTGCAGCACAAGGTCACTATCAAACCAAATACCCACATTTAGGCCAGCACGGCCACCAGGCTCATGGTGAGAAGGTGTTCTGTGGACATGTTGTACGCAGTCCTGGCGTTTTCGGTCGGCCACTACTCTCGACAAGCACGGAAGACGAGCATTTTCACCCGTGTCACTACGCGGAATTGCGGCAAGTTCGGGTACATAGAGTGTGCAACATGTCCAACATGAGCAACTTCCGCTCTACTCAGATGGTAAGCGTACTACATGTACATAGTGGCTGTAGAAGATGTGGATACGTCTACTGAACTGACGTGGTTATGCCTACTTAATGTGTCTGCAGTGAGTATCTACACTAAAGTGTCTGCGAAGCTCGAGTCATCAAACTCACGACTTGGTGTGCGTGGAGTGGATACATGCAATTGCTGGGACTATCATTGAGTCGCGGCATAAAATGCGCGCTATTTGAGTGAGGAGGCATGCTTATGTGCTTTGTAAGACGAGGTCAACAACAATGGAGGCGCGAATACGGCCAAATGCATTATGTCTGTCGAGATCGAGCTACATGTACTGCGAATGTGGTGGTATCTGTCATCGCTGTGGCGCACTTTATGTGCCACGATTGCAGCGCTGTCTTGATGATTTTCATGCACGTCGCCACCGCGGATGTGGGCTGGGCACAGGGCCAACTCCTTCACCTCAAGCAGAATCGGCTAGCTCAAGCCCGACCGGCACTGCAAGAGCTGATACGTGACGTTTCGCTATCGGCTGATAGAGGTAGCATTTGGATCTCTCCGTTCTCCGTCGACCATCGGAATCGAGTGATAGCAGAGATTTCGTGTTGCGGACGGGAAGTTTTCGTCGTACCACACGATGCTGGAACGGTATTACACGCACGATCAAAGTGGTGCACACGAGATGAGGAAGGTGACGTTTTGCCTTGTCGTTCCGTATCGTGTCCGTATGACGAAGCGTTTGTGGTAGTGCTGACATTGATTCCATTGTGTTTACAATTTACCCTAGAGAATAGCGTGACTAGACAAGAAAATGGCGGTGTCGTACGCTGGTATCTGAGTATTCTGTACAAGCATGAAGCGGCCAAGCGAAGTGGAATAGCTATGTGCTACGGTGTCCCGCTCTGATTATCACAACGAGGCTACTAATGCCTAAGAATGTGCGGCTCAGAGCGGTGTACCAAAGACTTTGCAAAGTGGAAAGGTGAGCGCGTCTTTGAGTGTCAGTATGTGGCAGGCTGATGGCTAATGCAGTCGTGTTGTTTTGCCTTTGTATCATAATAGCGATGACCAATGTCTGATTCTGGCCGTGAGAATGCGAGCTTCACTGTAGCCGGCAGTACAGTAAAAGCCGTCGTTAATTACCTTCAGCGTATGGTCGACCGAAATGCTGCGTTAGTCGCGTTATAGTGCCCCATATCTGCTGCCGAATCGGTTGAGGAAATGCAGGTTGAAACAAAAAGTAGGTTGTCCTCTAAAGCATTGGATCTATTTGTAAGGGGGGGGAGAAAAAAATTGTGTGGGGGTTTTTTTTGTGGCGCCAAAAAAAGAGAGTCTCTTTTTCCACAGATCTCTCTTCCATTTTCGCACACTTACACCGGCCACGCCTGGAGCCCGCTATCATCAGGCCAAGTGCTGTCGCAACAGTTGCGAAAGCTACTCGCATCAGGGAAGCAATCTGAGCTCGACTACGATGGTTGAAGGAATAAACTGAAATCGGTACATCAAGCTTGCTGCTCACTTATTGTCAGCGCTACCGTGGCACGTATGTGGCTGGCGGCTCAAACGTCAGCTGAGCTCGTTAAAGTGGATACTTTGGCCCACGGTGCTGCAAGACTTCAGTGCTCTCCACTCGCCATTGTCAATTTCACCGGCTAGTGCCCAAGCCTTCTACACAACTACATCCCAGTGCTGCGGATCTTCCGCGACAAGTCCTGCTAACCCACCCCGCCATCACTTACGTCGCAATTGATCCTCAATACTATTTGGTACGGTTGGCACTTTATTCCCTGCAATTTTTAGTCTCATCAAATGGGGAGCTAGCTAGCATAGCTGATTCGGTACTGCATCCACAGAGATGATGCCTATAAAAATCTGGAGGACCTTTTTGTCAAACCTGGTATCTCGCGCAATTTGTCATTCACCAAGGTGCCGCGAATCACACACCCGACTGATTTCCTATCGATGTGCTCCCAGTCTATAGATCGGTAACCCGTTGCGGTTGAAGAATTTCAAGTTGATGTGTGCCTTGCGGACGAGTTGTCCGTGGCGATGGTTGTGTGTGCTGCTGTCCGCGTAGTTAATGCAACAGCGACTGGCGACCATCGATCACTACTAGAGTGGCCTACTACGTCTAGATAGCCTTGACAAATGGACGAGACGTCGCGGATTGCCTAATGGACCCCAACCTGAGGCGTCTGCAATTGAACTCGGTGGCGAGAATGATGTCACGCAAGCCGCAGGGCGAGGCAGTAAGGCTCAACAGTTTCTTCTGGAGATGAAGGCTTAGGGAGCCTCGGTGGATGCAGACAGCATCTTCAAACAACATGATGGTTCCCAATGGAGCTGGGTATCAGGCTTGATCGCAGCCAGCGACGACTAACAACAAGTGGTGGTACTGGTAGCCAAGGCTGGAACCCGACAAGTGACCTCTCCAGCGGAATGGGTGGTCAAGGCTGGACACCGTCGAGCTTTGACCATGACCAGGAGAATGGCTCTCCAGGGATGGCACGATTGCAATCGAGAGCTCAATTTTGGCATCTGCAGCCGTTCTGAGCCGAGCGAGATGACATTAGCGTCTTCAAATATCTTGGCAGTGGCGACCTCCCTGGGCAGGGTATGATATTTCTTGGTGGGACTTAATACCTAACTTCTACTGGACTACTAAGACAACTAGAACTTCTATGGATTAGCCGAAGATCAACAACTACTATTACTGTATCTGATTAAATTAAATATAATTAAATTAGCCCTTGACCAACTAGTACTATCTTACTAGCTGATTATTATCTGAAAATCGACCGATTTGTGCTTTTGGCCAACGCGTTCGAAGACGAAATTTGTCATGAGTGTTTTTGACGATAAGTGAAGCTCACCGTGAGTCAGTGACTCAGAGTCACACCGGTGCTAGTAGTCACACGCAGGAACGGCTCGTCGCACAGGACCGCTTCGTTAGCAAGCACGGGTCATTTTCGTCTGCCCCAACGATTGCTCATTCTGTCTTTTACCAGGAATCCAAGATCCTCATCTTCTTGTCGTGTGGAGAGAGACCCCTGTATGCCGTGGAGCTCACCGCACACTCAGCACTTGGAGGTGTCATCGAGTTTTTGCGGCTCTACCAGTGGAAGCTGATGACTTTTCTTCTCGGTTGGTCTGAATTGGCCGCTTCCCAGATTTTAGACCTTGACGCGGATGATTTAGATAGTCGACAATATTACAAGTCTTTATAAACAATACTTTCACAAAAGAAGTGCTTCGTTTCGTCTCGCTAGTTACTTGAGTGCATGTAGTAGTTTTGTAGGCGGTGATACTGTTCTAATACAGTCGTGGATACCTTGTCCTTGCGTCTCCGACTCCACTTCCTGTCTGCGCATCGCCGGTGGCTCCGGCTGCTAAACGTCACTTGACGAGGGACACGCTCATATTGGTAGGACTCGAGTTCTAAAGCAATACAATCTTCACACACCTTTAGGTATTAATACCGCCCTTGGGTACTGTAATGTCCAAAGCGTATTATCTCTGTCTCGGACAGCATCTATCTACTGACGAACCTTTCCTCCTTACGCCCCACCACACACCCCACGCCATACACGTCTGTCTAGTAGACGCTTTCCGGAAGAAGAAAGCGCTTCCCGATCTTGCGGTTGTACTCCAACACTTGGGCACGCACCTTCCCTTCTCCATGAGTTTGTAGCGAGAGCTAGCGAGAAGCACCGCGTTCGGGTTCTCCGAAATGAGATCCGTAAAGACGCCGTACTTCTCCGTCAGAGCGCGGATCTTCTTCAGATGCTTCTCCTGCAGCTGCAGCCCCAGCGCGTCTGCGTCTTCCAGAGTCGTGAGCGCGCGACGCAGCAAGCGTTTCCTGGCGTAATGGTCCACCAGCAAACCGAATGTCACCTCGTCCGCCTCCACATCTCCGCTCTCGATCTCCGAACGCACACGCTCCAGCAACTGCTCCGCTTGAGTCGTCCGCTTCGCGCGCACGTACATCTGCATCATACTACGGTACGTGAACTTGTTGGGCCTGAGCTCGAACTTGGAGAACGTCTCGTCCATAAAGACTTCGGGCCGAGCGAAGACGCAGTGCATTTCGTGTACACGCCTAGCATCGAGTTCAACGTCGTCCGAGACGGCTTGAGACCCTTCTCGAAGGTCATTTCATGGAACCGGAACCTTCCGCACGCTTGATGTTGAGCGTCTGGAACTGGCCGAAATCTGTCAAGTCCATCGGCGTCAGCTCAAAGTCCAGCGATTCCTCACTGTCAGCAAACAGCTTGTCGTCCTCTTGGCCATAGACTTCCATACTCCGCTCCGTCTTGACCAGTGCCGTCGACTCGGCCTTGTTCACTTCTTCGTGACTGGACTCATCCTGCTGACGCAACGCTTCCACTTGTGCCAATGCCTCTGGACTGAGCTTGTAGCTGTCCCTTTCGTCCATTTCGTCCTCGTCCTCGCCCTCCTCGTCAAAGCGTCCATCGTAGTTGGCATTCTCCAGCGAGAACGTCTCCTTTCCTGGACGTGTCAAGTCGATTTCCTTCCCGTCGTCGTCCCATTCCAGTGGCTCCTGGTAAATGGGTTCAGCTTTGGGCAATGGCTTCTGATTCCGCGGAGCCTTGTCCACAATAGCGCGAAACTGAGCGCGTGCGTACACGTTAAACAGCGTGTTATACACGAACTCGGTCATGGGTACATGATGCCGTTCCATGTGTCGAATGATCTGCTCGGCTTGGATAAAGTCTCCATGCTTGGCACACGCGTGCAGTACCGTCGTGTACGAGTACAGATCGGGCGTGTAGTCGTACAGTTCCTGCATCTCGTTGTAGAGCTCGACAGCCTTGTGTGCGTAATAGTGCGACTTGGCACACGCATTGATTAACGTGTTGTACGTCACGAGCGACGGGGTCAAGCCGCACTCGAGAAGATCTTCGAGCAAGTTCAACGCGCGCTCGACACGTCCTTCGCGTGCACAGCCATGGATACAGCAGGTGTACGCCACCTCATCCGGCTCCGCTACGTGCGTCCGCATCAAGTGGAACGTCTCAAATGCCTTGTCGATGTCTCCTTCGGCGATTGCAGCGTTCATTAAGATCGTAAATGACGCGCGGTCGGGCACTAGTCCGGCCACCTGCATCTTCTCCATGACGTTGTAGGCCCACGGCACACGCCCCGCCTTGGAGCACGCGCGCATCACAGCGTTATACACAGCCACACTGGGATTCACGCCGCGTTCCCTCATGCGGCCAATCACACGCACCGCATGCGCTGCCTGTCCGTTCTCACCCAGCGCAGTGGCATACAGCATATACGACTTGGCGTTCGGTGGCACTACGTGCGGTACGCTCTCCAGCGCGTCCATTAGCTCCAGCTCCGTGCTGTCTGTGGGCTTGACGGCTACTACAGTGTTCTCCGCCGCGATGGGCTCCAAGTTCTTCTCCATCCGGGTCAACAAGGCATTGGCTTCCTTGTGTAGGCCTTTGACCGCATACACTCTGAGCAGGAAATTGTAGTCGTTCACTCCAAGTTCGTGTTGCACTTGCCCATCCCCTTCAACTTCAACAGTGTCGCCAGTAACGGCTCGTTGTGTCTCATCGACTTCTTTCATGATGTCGGGGTCGGCGCGGGCAATGGAGTTAAGCTTGTTAAGCGCATCTAGGTGGTCGACGTCCTCGAGACTCGGCTCCGGCTCATACGTGTAGTCGCCCATTGGGCCTGACGTGTTCAGGTACTCGAAAACGTCGTCCAGCTCGCGGTTGAGCTCGTCGTTGCGCTCTAGTGCCGCCCACTCCTTGGCGTTGCGCTCGTTGATGCGCTGTGCACTCTTGAGGTCACGCATGCGCTCGAGGTGCGTGCGGTGAGGTGCTGTGTCCTTCTTGAGCTTCTGTTTGGTGTTAAGCGCGTTATGGCTCTTGTTGCCTTTGCTGCGGTTCCAGCTCGAGGTTTTGACGACAAAAGCTGACGCGCCGCCCTTGCGCTTCTGTAGAACGCGGCTCTGCGATATCTCGCGGTACTGGAGAGTCAATGGGTGCGCGGAAATAACAGCATTGAGGTGCGACGCAGTAGCGGGCGCCAGCGACGCGCTGAGAGGTCGGCGGGCCGCGACGCGAAGCAATGCGGACATCATGGCAACCGAGCGAAAGTGATTGTAGTGTTTGGCGGAGAGCGATTGGCTGCAGACACCGAGCGGTTGCGAAGGTACATCAACTGGGACAGAATGTGATGAGCAAGTACTATACCACATCGCTTAAGTACGGTAAACTTCAACTTGGTTTTACCAAATGTATGTTGACATATCTGTGGGGGATACATAGTATAGCAGCTAGCTTATACTGGTCGGTTTTTGCGCACCTTTATGCTAAGCACTCTTGCCCGAGCTAGGATCCACGAGCCTAATCCTGCAGCGCTGTGCCAGGCGAATTTAGTGCATTTTGATTGGTTTCGCTTTAATAGATGGTCGACCTAGACATGTCCACTCTAAATCTCAATACAAAATGAAGATGGACAACCTGTTCAATAGGTTGAAATGAATTATTTTCCCAGGCCAAAGCAACACCTCTATTAGTTGATTGTTGCTTAGAAGAAATTAAAAGTCGCATTTTGGGGTCTGAAGTGAAAGCAATTAAAAGAATAGTTGATTGTTGCTAAGAAGAAATTAAAAGTCGCATTTTGGGGTCTGAAGTGAAAGCAATTAAAAGAATATTCAGCTGTTATTCACGACGGCGAAAGTGGTGGCTTCTTCAAGATATCCCCGATTAGGAACGAGAATTCGAACAGTTTCCACTACGAACTTTCTCGTAACGAAGAGCTGTTCCAAGGTTGCGACTTGCACTGCCATGTAAAATGACGAGCGTTGTGGCATTTTCCTTGTTGACAAGAAGGACCGATTTTTTTTTTCCGAACCGTGACCCTGACACTTTTCTGATGTGAGAACGAATGCAGGGGAGTAAGAAACTTGAATGTTAAAGGACCGCTAATGCCGATGCCAAGGACTCAATAACCAACCTAGTTGATCTTGTAACTCGCTCAGTCGAAAGCCAAAATGCAACAGAATCACCGTGAGCTTCAGATGCAAAATTCTAATTTGTTTGTTCAATGTCGCTCCAATGGATAAGAGTGAGCACAGGCGACATCCGCCGAGCTGATCAGATTTCATGCTTTATTGGTTTTTACAGCTAATTGCAAGTTGTTGATTTACAGTCTACGACTTGAAGATGTGTTATGAGAGGATTCCCGCCAAACACCCAGAATTTAGTGAAAAGCCTCACGATATTCGAGGTGTACTAGATTTCGAGGTCATGTCGCAGTGCGTTTAGCTTTCTGCTATTTCTACATTTTTAACCCCTCTGTTACCAAGTCGTATCTTACGACTTCACAAAACTACAAAGTCGTAAGATACGACTTTAGCAACGCCAACAATAGCAAATGGCTCGATGAAAATGTTCCATTACTTTAATCAAGTGTAATTTCTGCTCCAAAAGGTATAAGGTCACACAGGTCAAACTTGCATGTGCACAAAACGGGCGGTGGAAAGGGTTATGCGGGAAATGCTGATCCGTACCCAGTGATGAGTGGCTCCACGGTTCCAGACGTGCTCATTTGGAAATTGGAGCTCTGTCACGCAAGTGGATAGATGGCGAGGTTGCGAACGAGTACGGTGACAAAAGATGCTGCGGTGGCGCGTTCGGTAGACTTCAGGCATCTTTGGCGGCAGCTCCGCGCGGTCGGGTGGACGTCGAAAAGACCGACGCGGCTTGCTACGGAGTGGATGTACTTCGCTCCAAATCGTGACTCGCAGGAGCTGGTTGAAGGGACAAACATGTTCACTGGTAAGCAAATCTTTGGAAGGGTTTTATATCTAAGTACTAACTGTTAACATGCTCAAAGGCGAGGACGCGGTTGTTAGATATGCCATTTCGTCTGGGCTGATCAATATGGACGAAAGCAGTGACGACAACGGACAGGAGTCAGATGAAAACGTCCGTCCTTCTCAAATTGACTGCTCTCTGATGTTGTCCGCGCCTACGCTGGATGCCCTGTTTGACGGCAGCAGTGATGCTAACGAGGAGAATGCCGGGCCTGATACAGGAGTGGCTGCACCGGCTGCGGACATAGCGCAACAGTTACCTGGTCAGATCGGGTTATCAGACGAAGATGTCGTTGTTGGTGCGTTCCAGCGAATGCTGTCGGAAGCTGAATCAGAAGGACATGTCCAGTTCTCGGACAACGAGAGCAAGCAGGATGATGTGGAACGTGTGGATACGTCTCCACCCGCTGTCCACGTTAGAGCGGACGATGTGAATGTACTACAAGAAGACGAACACTCCGATGACTTCGAGTGTATGGAATCTAGCACCAGCGATGATGGTGGTGATGACTGTGAAGAGGACGATGTGGTAGAGCGCAGAGAACATGTTGAAGAAGACGACGACGAACTTCCGGATGATGAGCTGAAACTAGTTGACGAGGCATTTGTAGCTTCTCTTGGTGGGACTCTCTCCATTGCCAACATCGACAAGGATGCTTTGCGCCTGACGAAGTGGAGTGAACCGTCCTCTCTGTTCGAAAGTGGTAGACCGAGCTACCAGGGGCTTTCAAGTGACGAAGCAACTCCTACGCACGAGCTACGGGAAATGGCAACTACACCACTAGGGTTGCTGTTCTACTTCATGCCTAAGCAGTTGTGGGTCGACATCGCGACTGAAACCAACCGCTATCGAGCCCAGAACATTGACTCAGAAGCCAAGAAAATACGCTCAAGCCAGAGGCGTAACAACCGTATCGCGTCACCAGAAACACTTTTGCAGATACGACGGCGTTTGAGGGCTGCGAAGGCGTACGATACCTGCGAAATCTTGCACGTGATCGGGCTGCTTGTTGCGCACATGTTGTGCCCCCACAAGCAACGGTTTTCGAAGCACTGGGCGATGGCGTGTGACGGAGCTTTACCTGCTGGTACCTTTGGCAAATATATGCCACGCAACCGATGTACAGCTATCCTACGTGATCTACACTTCACAAACAACAATGCACCCCGCACTCGAGACAAACTGTGGAAACTGCGTCCGGTCGTCGATATCCTGCAGCAGCGCTTCCAATCTGGCTGGACATTGCCGGCAGTGTTTTCGTTCGATGAAGGTGTGTTACCAGCAACGTCTCGGCGGAACACTACGCGGATGTTTATGTCAGATAAACCTCATCGGTACGGTACCAAACTTTTTATGGTTTGCGACTCAAAGACAGCTTACTGCCACAGGTGCGTTAGTATCCTTTTTTCAAAGTCGTAACTTCTGACATCTCTAGCAATTCTGAAAAGCTAACGTCGTAACTTACTGGTTTAGGTTGGAGGTCTATGTTGGAGCCCGTGAATCAACAGACGGAGAATCCACAACTATCGACAACAAGACGGGTGCGGCTGCCGTCATTCGCAACATGAAAATTTTACTTGGCGACTGCTCTAGTGGATTTCTAATGGTCGTTGTCGATCGGTATTATTCGTCCGTAGCGCTGGCTTTACAGCTCCTCGGTATGTCTATCTACGTCGTCGGAACTATCATGACGAATCGCATTGGATTTGACCGTCAAGTCGTTGAAGGCCGTCGGACGCGGCCTCGTGGAGTTGAGAGAGGAACCTTTACGTTCTCGCGCTGCGAGGCAGCACCTACAATGGTTGCGTGCCACTGGTGGGATAGAAAGCCAGTCCATTATTTGGCCACGGGTGCATCGATGGAGGAGGATACGATTCAGCGCAATGTGAAACAAATTGGGGCGATTACTGTGAAGTGTCCCAAGCTAGTGACCGATTATCAGCGGTGGATGGGCGGAGTTGATATTCATGATCAACTCCGCCTGCAGTCGTTCTCAATTCAAATGGCTTATCGGTTTTGAAAGTACTACAAGTCCTTATTTTTAGGCTTCCTAGATCTGGCGATCGTGAATGCTTTTATCACACACAAGGAGGTATGCAGGGCCGCGAGAATTGCGCCAATGTCTCGTGCTGCGTGGATGGCTGTCCTCCACAACCAGCTCCTGCAATTAAAACCCGAAGATTTCGACTTGGATCCTATAGCAACTCCACCGTCATCCGCTCTCTCCAGGCGAAAACGTCGTCGCCTCCCACAGCACATCTACAAACAGTACGATGACTGGGTCATTGTGTCCGGCGTTCAAAAGCGTAGACAGCGTGCGTGTAAGGTATGCGCACTTCTTCGCGGTGAAAGAAAAAAATCTTTCCAGACGACATTCTACTGTGAAGACTGCTCCAGCGGCGAGGCCAAATTTTTCCTCTGCCCGAAAGCTCGGCGTGAGTACAATGGAATCGCGAAAACATGCTTCCAGATTTGGCATGAAGATTTTGAGTGTGGAAAATCAATTCCTGAGTCACTTGGGAAACGAGTTGTGTTTCGACGTCCGGCCAAGTTTGGAGCGCGCAAGAAAACACGCCGTGAGTTGTTGCGGGAAGAGGAGTAGATGCTGATGACGAGGGCGAAACTGCGTATGTAGCTAACTTTTGAAAACGCCATAAAACGGGGGTTTGATTGTAGTATCTCGAGTGTCGTTGTTTTATCTAATTGATTTTGTACGTGGGTAGTACATTTCTTGAATCAGGCTTTAGTAGAAGTCGTAAGTTGAGACTTCTCTATGCGTTGGCGCTTAGAAGAGGTCGTAAGTATACGACATGTGAAGACCAAACACTTCAAAACTTTATCCACCATCGCCGATGTATCCTACGGCAAAAGGGGCGCCCCTATACAATAATGCTGTTATTAGGACGTCGTAAGTTACGACGTAATGTTTGCACGTTCAGAGACTCCATTTGCGGTATCAGAGGGGTTAAGAAATATACAATGTGAGAGAGAATTGGGATCGCAAAGATACTCTGAAAACATTCAGAGAACTAGTAGGAGACGACGGCAGTTTAAAAAGTGTCAATTTAACGCGTGGAGCAATGAAGGGCTAAAGCGCAAAACCTTGTGTCTTCCTTGAAGATTATTTGTAAAACTCATCAATGAGAAACGACCTATCACTTAAATTTGTACATCCAACTCGATGGCAATTTACATACCGTATTTACATTATATCATATACTTTGAGATGATTTCACAACTTTAAAGTAGAACCCCTGGT